ATATATATATATATCAAGATATTCATTGCAATGAAATTCATTTATTTAGAGTGTTCCTGAATAATTTTCATATCATGAAAATTATTCATAGCATTGTCTTCTCCAAGAAGTATTAATTTAAATAGAATCATATTAATCAGAGCTCATTCTAGGCAGGGTAAACAGGGCGCAGCACCCTGCTGCCTTTTTAGTTAAAAGAATCCACCCTGTTGCCCCCCCCTTAAAGTAAATTAGTGCCCTGATATAATAGACTCCATAACCTTTTTGCCCTTTCTTTGTTTTTTCCCCCAAACTCTCTATGGATTTCTTAAACTTTTGTTACTTTCAACTCTCTTCATTTAGTTTGTCATTGCTGTCAATACATAGGAATACATTTATATGGGAAAGGAAAAATAGCCATCACACCCCTTGTTGCACTTGTCATTGAAAGTTTGCAGTTACTTCCACTACCATTAAATCCTAATTATTAATCATTTTAATTATTAAATCATAACTACAAAAACTTAAAAACATACATTTATTATTTTATTAATATATGCATGCATTTTAAATAAATTACTAAGCTACTAAATAAATTACTACCCATTAACTCATTATATATGTTAATTTATTGATAAAAATTAGTAATTAATATAATTGCTTTCCTACTTTTAGTAAAGTAAAGAAAAAAAAAATCTTTTACTAATTGACAATGTTTTTTAATTGTATGTGTAAAGCCCATTGAAAGAAATTATTGCCTTTTTAGAATAATAATGCCCTTTTTTTAAACTTTTGCACCCTGCTCTTTTTTCTGCCTAGAATGAGCTCTGTATTAATAATACAAATATAAGTTTCAAATGAAAACAACAAACCTTAGAGCAAAACAAAGCAAATTGAATAGATCTGATTCTCTGTTGTTTGTCTTAAACATAGAGCCTTCATTTATAAACCTGAAATAAATAATTAAACTAACTACAAAGTCATAAAAGAGCAATCTTTTTAAAAGTTATAATTATCAACTAAACTTACCGGTTTGCTAATATTTCAATTTCATTGGCTATTTCACCTGTATCCATTTTCTCAATTGCATTTTTTCGGCTGATCATTTTTAAGGCCTAAAATATGATAAGAAATATCTTATTCTCTCCATACTTATGAACAAGAAAATGAAAATAAAAACTTGAAAAATACGGAGAGCTGAAGAAAAAAAGAAAAGAAAGGAAGAAAGAAAATCATAGAAGATATCTGGAAGAAATTTATAGTCATTTTTAGATTATTTTGATGCTGAGAGCTCACAATTTTGTTGAGAGTTACATACTTATTTATATGGCATATTTCTCATTTCAATTTTTTAAATACAGTAGTTTTCAGCAGAAAAGGCCCACTACACTACCAATTTCAACCATTATTAAGAAGAAACCAGGTAATTTAAGCACAAAAAAAAGAAGAAACAGACGCAAGCATATTCAAAAATTTTTTGAACTCAAAATCATACACGCAACTTTATTTCTTCATATATAACAGTCGTTGAACAGCCAACCCAATTTTCGGGTTTATGACTACTAATGTTCAACTACGTAGCCTTGTAATTTTGAACCCAATCCAGAAGACAATGGAATTCTTGGATCACATATTGGGAGAAATTTGCCTTCATGTAGGACATTCTGATGGAGCTAACCAGCATTTGCATTACAAGGAGAGGAAGATCACAAGAACCTCCCATAGTTAGCCTTACGGCAAGGGGACTCTAACCAATGATCTGTCTACCACTGAGGATATTTCACATCAGCACTATGGTTGGTGCAAGTCAGATGTGGATTCGTATCCAACAAGACACCGGTGGGATTCGAACCCAGTTCACCTCATTGTAAAGCAAACGCTCTATCCCCTTAGCCATCTTTAGAAGCACCAATGTCATGTAAAAAGAAAGTAGAAACAGCTAATTGGCTGCAGTTAAAAGGATAGAAATGGAAGCGAAATACTGTGTATTGATGACGTGACAAAGGATAAAACGTGTGATAAAGTTGAGAATTGGATTTCGTTACACATTTGTGGTTGACATTGTACATCACATCGTCAATCATAAACTTATCTAACTCACCAGATTTTAATAAAAAATATTAGCAAAAAATGAGAAAAATATATCATTTTAAAGAGAAAATTGATACGCCATTTTATAAAATTTTTGTAAAAATATCTTTTTGATTAATATTCTAGAGCGAAATCCGTGGTAAAATTAAATTGTCAGATTGGCTAACTTTTAATTAAAGATAGGCCACGCCGTTACTACCAAAAAATACTGTAGTAAAAAAAAACGTCCTTAATGTAAATATTTATATTTACATTCTTCAGGAACTTAGGAAACATCCCAAAAATTAGGATTTAGGGACCCCTAAAAAAACCATAGAAAAAATTCTGTCTGTCACAGAATTTTTATATTTTTGACAAGCTGGCCAGGTGCTTGAAAGGTCAGGGTGTCTGATAGCAAAGCCAATTATCTCTGTGTGTTGCCTGCCTATGGCCCACCCTATGAGTGAGTATGTGTTATGTGGATATTGTTGCTCATCTCCAGCAATATTTTCAGCATCTTATGTGGCGAAGAACGCAATAGTTCAGTGCCAACCATTAGGGAAATTTTCTTTAAGCGACAACTACACATTTCAAAAGCTCTAAAAATAGCATAAGAATGAGAAAGTTACTCCAAAAAACAGGGGAACCTATAATTTAGGTCAAGAGCTAAATATTTCTAATCCAAAATCTAATAAAATATATTTAATATTTACTTCTTTATTAGAACTGCAATCAATGTCCATTGCATCATCAGACTGCTTTTCTATTTCAGTTGCGAGAGTTGAAGCATTCCACCTGTACTCCGTCTTTGAAAGAATATCAGAAGATTTCCCAAGAGCAGCAGCTAAGGTTGACTTGTCAATATTAAAAGGTATTTCAATTAAGATTTCATCCAGTTGCAAGAATAAACTTGAATCCAGCGTGATAAGCTATAGAAAAAGATTTTAATTTGTGAGAAATGTAAACGTTATCCTTTTTTAATAGTAGCATTAATCACGTCACTGTTAACCTGTTTGATAAACAAAATTTTTAAGTTCAAGCAATATCTATGTATAGTAAATAACATTTATTCCAATGCTTTTCAGCATTGGAATAAATGCTGTTTACTGGAACAATGGAACTTATCAGCAAAAGTAAGCTTTCAAGTTTTTCATCAGAAAAAAATGAGTGAAATTAGGAGCAAAAATTTTTTTGTCTTAAGAAAAAATTCTCTCCTACTCTGCATTGATATGCGAAATTCATAGGATACCTAGTGTAACATCTGTACTTTATTTTTATACAGTTTATTTTCTAGTTGCCTAATTGAAACCCACAATAAATTATTCTGAAAACGGAAACAGAATGGTAAAAACACAATGCAAACAAACGAAGTTTCAGCCAGATTCCTAGCTGTTAAATAACGAAGCTATGTATCGGAGAAAAAAAAAAAAGGATTCACTGAATAAAAGACTCATAGGAGAATTCTCACTACATCCGGCTCGGTCGGAGCGGTAGAGCAGGAACTTCATTACTGGCAATAATATTTTTGCCACTAGCAAATATTTTATCAACAATTTTTCTAAAAATTGTTTCCAGAAAATACGGAGACATTTGAGAACATATGGTTAAATGGGAGATAGTCGTAAAATACAGGAGTCTTTGTTAAAAAACAGGAGAATCGGTAGGTATGAAATCTTCTTTATAAATATTGGTGCCAACATCCACACTAGAATTTCATGAACATTTTTTATTTCTTAAATGATTGAAAAAGTAAACCATATTAATGAAGCATAGAAATTTATAACAGCATTTGATAATCGTTTTTCAGACCCCTTCCATGTTGGCATAAATTGTGTCCCTTAAAATTTCAACAAGGACGTTGCAGTGCAACAATTAAAACTAAATACATTTTTGCATCCCCATAATTTTTTTTTTACATCGTTTATATTATAATCAAGAGATATTACAACTTAAAACATCCAGTACAATTAGTTGGAAGTGTTTTTGGATTCACATATGCTTGTGAAAATCTCTTTTAAAGATGAAATTTACAGAGTTTATTGCATCAGGGGTCTGACCAAGTTTTTTCTCAAAGGTACCTATTTTGAGAAATTTTAGACATAATTTGTGAAACATCCAATACAAATATAGATTTGCAAAAAGAAAACTACAGGAAAAACAATACACAAATGTCTAATTAATTAACACTTGAAAGTTAATTAACATTTGAATAATAGTATAGCAATAAAGTTTTATTGGTTTTGTATTACATCTTAAAAAGAACATTGACTTCTTAAGCTTAGTTAGCCGTAACATTTCTGGACATTGAAATTGTTGGGGTAGTGCCAGGTATGTTTTGAAACATGTTTCTATATACCAGAGGTGGCCAACCTGCGGCTCTTTGAAGGATTATTTGTGGCTCTCGATAAATGTACCCGAGTTCCCATTTCATTTTTGTGCTATTATATTTTAATATTTTTCTGAATCCATTTAAAATTAACATAATTCAAGGTGAGTTTTCCATTTCTAATATAATTATGACCCAAAAAGCACCTGAATAATTAGAATTAATAGAGATGCAAGAAGATCAAGCTCTACAATTAAAATATAAGTTGACGTTGATTTCCGAATTTTGGAAATTTGTACCAGAATCGAAGCATCCTGAATTAGAAAAAGCTGCTTGTCGAATTACTTTAATATTCAGAACAACGTACTTATGTGAATCATTTTATTTCGCTTTAAAAATCGTCAAATCCAAACACCGATCAGTATTAACTAACCAGCATCTCAAAGAATTACTGAGAAGTGCTGTCACCAATTATTCACTAAATTTTAATGAAATATCAAGAGAAGTAAAATAAATGTGTCTAATTTTTAATATTTAAATTCAATACACATATTTTGTTACTTTATTTATAAGTTTTCCATAAATATGATTCTTGTAAAAAAAAATTAATATATTTTCTGCATACCTTTTAAATACATATTTAACTGCGGCTTGCAAAAAATTTCAAATTTTGAAAAGTAGCTCTACTATTAAGGAGCTTGGCCACCCTTGTTATATACAATCAAGGTGGATTTTAGGTTCTTCAATTCTTAGAAATCTTCAATTCAATCCAAATTTAAGTTGCAATACATGAGAAACATAATAAAAAAATTATTGTCCACAGTAATAGTTCAATATATTAGATTTATAGTATCACAAAGTTTTATTGATTTTGCAATTGCATTACAATTAAAAAAGCATGTTTGCCTAATTTTTCCTCACCTCTCATCTAATGCAGATTTAGTGAGGGCGAATAAAAATTACCTTCCAGCATTAAGCAAAGATTTAAGAATTGTTATTTTGAGTAAATTATTTATAATACTTATATAATACATACTTGATAGTATTCTGCAGGTGAGGTCTTCAGAGTTTTTTCAGCTTTCAGGGAAGTGAACTTTACATCCCACATTTCTAATTTAGTCTCTACAAATAAGATATCTTTATTAACTGTTTATTTTTTCATAAAATAAAATAAAGAATAATATGTCAAGAAATTATACCTTTTTTCTTACTATCATTTACAGCTATAGCAATATGATCAGCATTGATAACACTAATTGCAAGTTTATGAGGATTTTTGATGCTTTTGTGTTGAAGTAACAAAGATGGTGTTAGACTGTGTACAGGGTGAGTATGAACAGTTCCATCAGACCCTACAGCAATAAAAATANCTAACCAGCATCTCAAAGAATTACTGAGAAGTGCTGTCACCAATTATTCACTAAATTTTAATGAAATATCAAGAGAAGTAAAATAAATGTGTCTAATTTTTAATATTTAAATTCAATACACATATTTTGTTACTTTATTTATAAGTTTTCCATAAATATGATTCTTGTAAAAAAAAATTAATATATTTTCTGCATACCTTTTAAATACATATTTAACTGCGGCTTGCAAAAAATTTCAAATTTTGAAAAGTAGCTCTACTATTAAGGAGCTTGGCCACCCTTGTTATATACAATCAAGGTGGATTTTAGGTTCTTCAATTCTTAGAAATCTTCAATTCAATTCAAATTTAAGTTGCAATACATGAGAAACATAATGAAAAAATTTTTGTTCACAGTAATAGTTCAATATATTAGATTTATAGTATCACAAAGTTTTATTGATTTTGCAATTGCATTACATTTAAAAAAGCATGTCTACCTAATTTCTCCTCACCTTTCATCTAATGCAGATTTAGGGAGGGCGGATAAAAATTACCTTCCAAGATCAAGCAAAGAATATTTAAGAATTGTTATTTCGAGTAAATTATTTATAATACTTATGTAATACGTACTTGATAGTGTTCTGCAGGTGAGGTCTTCAGAGTTTTTTTAGCTTTCAGGGAAGTGAACTTTACATCCCACATTTCTAATTTAGTTTCTACAATAAAGATATGTTTATTAACTGTTTATTTCTTGATAAAATATAATAAAGAATAATATGTCAAGAAATTATACCTTTTTTCTTACTATCATTTACAGCTATAGCAATATGATCAGCATTGATAACACTAATTGCAAGTTTATGAGGATCCTTGATACTTTTGTGTTGAAGTAACAAAGATGGTGTTAGATTGTGCACAGGGTGAGTATGAACAGTTCCATCAGACCCTACAGCAATAAAAATACTTGTCGTAAAAAAGAAGAAGTAAACAGTTTGACCTATCGGCAAGGTTTACTATCACTATGAACTTCACATTCCACTGCAAAACACTATGACCATTATTTAGGTTAATGTAAAGTCTTTGAAATTGGTTTACGAAATTTTGAGCATAATTTATTAAAGCTTTAAATTTTATTGACATGTTTCAGAAATCATGTGACCTAAACACTTTAAAAATAATTAAATAAGTATTTTTTGAGAAATATGAAGAAAAAAAAAAAGAGTAAGTATGGAAGTGTTTCTATTATTTTGTCCAACCTCTGTTTGTATGTATATATATACATCTCACTCTCTCTTTCTATATATATATATTCGTCATACTTACATAATAGGCGTCTATCTGTCACTATAATTTTTGTTTGTATATTTAATAGTTTAGTGGTCCTCAATAAAATTTTTTTTTTTTTTTACAAAACATGTGGTTTTCACAATTAAAAATGCTGAAAACTGCTGTGCTACACTAATATCCAACTGTTGGGCTATTATAAAATAATAATCAAATAATTAATGATTAAGTGTAAAGGTATGATCTACTACTGATTTAAATTTAGCACAAAAAGAAGCATTACCTCTATGTTTCAGGCGAATTACAAACTACTCTGTGGAAGAGAAATAAGGCATTTGGAAAGAACAAGAACGTCAAGTTCATGACCTTACAGCCAGTTAAGATAAAATGATATCAGAGACCAATAGTAATAAATTAGAAAGTTCATTCATGCATATGGCAGTGCACATACATTTTACAACTAAACCAAACCAACACTGCTCCGAGTGTTGACAAAACTACAAATCCATTCTCTGTCTTTTCCTCCCAAATTGCTATTGAGTTCCTTTTCTGCAAAAATTGTTTCAACACGACACTTATACAAAGCAAAGTTCATACTAATAAGTGGCTCAACACAGTACACAAAAAGTATTTTCATCACATGCAGTTATTATTAAATGTTGTTTCTGCAAAAAATCATTTCAAAATAAATTAAAAGCAATGCCTTTCCATTAAGATAAAATGATACCCGAGGTAGATATTAGAAAGCCATAATTATATTAAAACATGACATTTTACAAAAAAAAACCAGACGCTGTCACTAGCATGTGAAAACATTGCAACTAAATACGATTATAACAGATCAGGGAGTAAATGCTATTATTCAAAACATAGCCAGACGAAACAGCAAAGAATTTCGTAAATTATGTAATTTCTTAAAATATCTTTTCCTTTTTGGTAGAAAAATGGATTTATGAAGTTTCAAGGCAACCTTTGAAAGAGACCAGTAAAAGTTGGTTTTAATTTATGAAATCATTTGATTCAATTGGTTGAATAATGAAAAACATAATTTTCTATAAAAGCTATCGTTCAATCATAAAGAGAGAGGAGAAATAAAACATTTAAAAATAGTACTTACAAATAGTTATAAAAGCAGTATTGTAGTGATCAAAGCACCAACTCTTCAATATAAGTTGACCATTTTCCAATAATTTAGAAGTGTAATCAGCAGCTTTTCCTTTTCTAATAGAAAAGCTATGAAATTTGTAAGATGTTGACTAAAAAATAAATTATTAAGAGGTATCATTATTTGTATATAAGGGCAATATTACAGTAAAATAGCATTTACATTCAGGGAAAGAAAGATTTGGCAAAATTATTTTTAGATTAAACAATAACACCATGTTCAATAACAATAAACTTCTTCAAGAAGTCCTGAATCTGTGAATTTATTCTGACCCCACTCTTATTTATACAAAAAGATACAGAAAATTTAAATGAAAAAGGACGAAATTATATCTGAATTGAAATTGCATATATTACAAACAAATTGACAGTCACAGAATATATGTGCACCAGATTCGAATTAAATTAGTTTGCTTATTTAACAAAATTAAATTCATGATTTCAACACTCAATTTCTAATAATATTAAAAGACTATTTAACTTAATCAAATTATCAATATTTTAAAACTATGTAAGAAATCTATATTTTAATTCCTGATTAAACATATTATTTAAACAAGATTGCTTTTTGTTTAAACAATGCACAAAAAAATGTTTCGTGACAAATTATTATATTCCTAAATAATTTATGCTTTAGACATTCATATATGCACCTTAAAAATGCACGAGAGGCAGAAAGTTTTATGGTATAGAATGCAATATATTTAGCATAACATTTTATTTCTAAGGATACATAATATAGTTACTTTTCAGTCTGAAAGAATAACTAAAAATAAACAAAGTAAGATGATAAAACCTAAAATGAATAAACAAAAATATCTTGCTGATTCCAAAAAAAGATACATTTAATAAGATTGTTTTTTTGGTTAAAACACTACTTTGCATTAATTTCTTCATACTGATTATTTATTCAGTTTAATAGACGATTCCAAAACAAAGGAAAATGTCTGTTCAAGAGGACATTTTTAAAATAGTGCCCTCTGTATAGTTAAGAGTATCTTATTCTTAATACTCGTCTAATTTTTGGACAGTGGAATTACAAGGCATTGACAAGGAGGCAATTGCAGTTTTTGAAGGAAGGGTACTATGAAGTATTTGAGATGGAACTCAGGTAAACAGCTCAGGGAGAAGAACTAACTCAGAGCAGCATAAAATCTTAAGGGAGCTTGATGTTGTCAAGCACACCTACTAATTTTTTTTACAATTCTCGAAAAATCACACCGAAACAGGTATAAGGCATTGTGCTTTCAATCTAACATTTTTCCATCAACAAGTTAATCAATAACGAAAGTCTCAAAAAAACTATTTAAACCACTATTTATACATCTTGAATTCTCTATGAATAAAGAAAGAGTGACAGGACTACCTATTCTAAACATAGGAGGTCCTGGGCATAACCTACGTTGGAAGGAATCGGGAAATATGGATTTTGAACCATTCGTGAGAAATTGAAGTTTTCTGTATATTTATAACTTTTAAAATTTCTTTTCAAAACGTTCAATACATCCAAATCATATTTATCTTCCATGAAAACTGAATTCACTCATTTTGTGAAGTGTTGTAAGAGATGGTTTATTTTAGAGTTAAAACATGTGGTATTATTCAAATTTTTTCTATTTTAGTTTTGCTTGTTCTCTGGGTGATAGTGAAATCATTCAAGATCTCATAAAGACTTTTTTTTACAATAACTAATAATCATGATGTAATTCTAAAGGCTAGAGAACAAAGTGTTCTAATTTCATGATATCATTCTCGAGAAGCAAAGTTTTAATCCGTAAAACTCACTGAATGAATGTCTAAAATTTATGTGCAATATTAAAAGATGTCACCTTAAAAATTTAAAAGCATTTTTAACCTTTAATGCAATAGATTAAACAGGGGTCTGTCTAGGTTTTTCTGAAAGGTACCCAGTTTGTGAAAATTTAGGCATAATTTGTAAAAAATTAAAAATTAAATTAAAAAATCAACACAAAAACATGGTAAAAATATAGATTTATCGTTTCTTAAGGGATACAAAAATAAAATTTTAAGAAAAAGTATTTTGTGAAACTACNCATTGCATTCAACTCCACACGAAAGAAGAGGAAGATTTCACCCGCCCCCAGTGGAAGGGGGCGGGTGAAATAGGAGTGTTTTTAGAGGTAACGTTGAAGAGGGGGGAAAATAAAGCATGTTCAGCTACGCTTCAGGCAGATGGTAGTTTGATAAGAGGGGATGGAATTCAAGCTGAAAGAAAAACTTACCTTCGCACTCGCGGAAAAATTAGGTAATTTTGAGTTTGGCCGTCGATCGCAGTAAAATTCGGGAGTTTTTCAAATCAATTCCGGAGGGCGGGAGAATAACTCAAAATTCGGGAGACTCCCGCAAAATGCGGGAGAGTTGGCACGTCTGCATAATATAGTTACTTTTCAGTTTGAAAGAATAACTAAAAATAAACAAAGTAAGATGATAAAACCTAAGATAAATAAACAAAAATATCCTGCAGATTCCAAAAAAAGATACATTTAATAAGATTTTTTTTTTTGGTTAAAACACTACATTGCATTAATTTCTTCATACTGATTATTTATTCAGTTTAATAGACATTTCCAAAACCAAGGAAAATGCCTGTTCAAGAGGACATTCTTAAAAGAGTGCCCTCTGAATAGTTAAGTGCATCTTATTCTTAATACTCGTCTAATTTTTGGACAGTGGAATTATTGACCTGGGCATTGACAAGGAGGCGATTGCAGTTTTTGAAGGAAGGGTACTATGAAGTATTTGAGATGGAACTCAGGTAAACAGCTCAGGGAGAATAATTAACTCAGAGCAGCATAAAATCTTAAGGGAGCCTGATGTTGTCAAGCACACCTACAAATTTTTTTCTCAATTCTCGAAAAATCACACCGAAACAGGTATAAAACATTGTGCTTTCAAACTAACATTTTTCCATCAACAAGTTATTCAGTAACAAAAGTCTCAAAAAAACTATTTAAACCATTATTGATACATCTTGAATTTTCTTTTCAAAAAGTTCAATACATGCATCAATCATATTTATCTTCTATGAAAACTCTATTCACTCTTTTTGTGAAGTGTTGTAAGAGATGATTTATTTCAGAGTCAAAACATGTGGTATTATTCAAATTTTTTCTATTTTAGTTTTGCTTGATCTCTGGGTGATATTTAAATCATTCAAGATCTCATAAAGACTTTTCTTTTACAATAACTAATAATCATGATGTAATTCTAAAGGCTAGAGAATAAAGTGTTCTAATTTCATGACATCATTCTCGAGAAGCAAAGTTTTAATCCTGAAAACTCACTGAATGAATGTCTAAAGTTCATGTGCAATATTAAAAGATGTCACCTTAAAAATTTAAAAGCATTTTTAACCTTTAATGTAATAGATTAAACAGGGGTCTGTCTAGGTTTTTCTGAAAGGTAACCAGTTTGTGAAAATTTAGGCATAATTTGTGAAAAATTAAAAATTATATTAAAAAATCAACACAAAAACATGGTAAAAATATAGATTTATCGTTTCTTAAGGGATACAAAAATAAAATTTTAAGAAAAAGTATTTTGTGAAACTACCGTTTTTCCCGAAGTCGAATTTGTGAAACTACCATTTTACCTAAAACTGAATTTGTGAAGGTACCTCTAAAGGTAGTAAATTCGGCTTGGACAGACCCCTGTTAACTAACACTTTTACTGTATTGACATAAAAAAAAAATTGTATTAGCCAGTTTCACAGTTCTATTTAGATTGCAGAATGTTTTCGCTAAAACAAACCCAGTATTTATGAAATGTAAGAAAATATTTGCACTAATTTTATGCAGTCATGATATAGTGACCTCCTGTTAACTGAATAAGCTTGATATTCTTTCTTTTTCAGTCAAATGTATTTTGAGAAATAAGTAAAATGCTCCAGATGCAGAAGGAAAAATAACATAGAGTAAAAGCTTTTCTTTAACAATTTTAATTAAAAAGCTCCTTCTTCTTAAAGAGTTTAGAAGTAACAAGAGAATTTTATATTAAATCGAATTTGAGTGTTAACTCAGCAGTATTTCGATATAAGCACACAAAATTTATAAGTAACATTACAATTCTTGTATCACCTCATTTTTATCATAAGAAAGTGTGAAATTACACTTGTAAAAAATAGTTTATAAAAATGTGGCTGTTAAAGAGTATTTTATGATGCAAAATGCTGTCAACATCTAGTCAAGTGCTCTCTTTAAAGAACGGAAGGCAAGAATCTGTAGTGTGAGGTGTCTGCTTTGAGAATTAGCTGTAAGGTAGAACTTCACTGTATATTGCTAAGCATGAGGTAAGAAATTATGAACCTGATAAAATATATGAGATCTTAAATAATATCAAATTCTTTAAGTAGAGTAAAACGAAAGATATTTAAACAGTTGTTTAGATATAGTTAAGTGAATGTTTGTTTTTAAGAATGGCACTATAATGTTTAATATATTGAAGGTTGTTAGAGAGCTAAATATACATTTGTAATACGAGGTATCTGTTTAAAAAGTACAGTAAGGTAAAATTTCACTGTATAACTTATAATAAAGTTTATAGCAAAAAATTATGTGCTCGATAAAATATATGAAATCATTGATGACATTAAACATACATCTTTTGGTAGAGTAAGGCAAAAGATTTTAGTTTCTGAAGGAATCTCGATACCGTCGGCCCACAGTAGTTCTTCATCCTCGGATATAAATGCCTTTCCTATAGGATCCAAAGAAACATATAGAAGTTCTGTTAACAGAACTTTTCCAGATGAAAACAAAACTATTGGTTTATGCTTTCTTAAGGGTATCACAGAAAACACAGGCTCTTGAAACTGAAATAAATAAATAAAAAGCTATTATAATAAAAATTTCATAAACATAAAAAAAAAATTGTATGGCTATAATCATTTTCATATGAGCCGTGGTGGTTCAGGGAATAGAGCCAATGAGGTGGCGGGGTAGATTCCCAGCGATGGCTGCTTGAAACTAATTCTGCTAGCACTGACCATAGTGTCAACATAAAATATCCTCAGTGGAAGACCCATCATAGGTTAGAGCCCCCTTGCTATCAGGCTAACCATGGAAGGTTTTCCTTGCAATGTAACACAAACTCGGATTTGGTCTAACAAAAAGACCTCAACAAATACAAATTTCTCCCAATACTTAATCCAGGATTGCCTTTGTTTGCTGAATTTGGTTCAAAAATTACAAGGCTACGGAATTGAGCATTAGTAGTCGTAAACCAAAAATTAGGTTTAATATTCAATATCTATTAATTTCAAAGTTCAGTTGAATTTAAAATTTGTTATCCAAGAAAAATTAATATTAAGCACAAAGATTCATTTTTTATGTAGCAGCAAATGAAAATAAACATTGTTATAGAATGCACTATAAGTTTAAACAGAGGAAAAAACTCCCAGCTCTACAGAAATTATGAGTTATTGATTATTTTTCTTGAAGATTTTTTTGTAATGTATTTTTGATAATGAATATTAATTATATTATATGGAAATGGATTTTCCTTGAAGTTATAAAAAAATTATTTTCTGTTACAACTATTTTTATTATTTGCCGAGAAAATTCAATTCAATAAAATGTATTGCATTATAAGATATGAAACAACCCATAGACAAAAAGATACGTTGTATACAAAACAAAAAATAATTTTACGATTGAAAGGTATACATCAAAAAAACCAAACACAGAGAAAAAAAATATAATTTTAGACATTCATGATAAAAGAAGGAAATTAATCAAAAGGAAAACATCTCAAAGGTTAGACAACTTTACCTGAAATTCGGAGCCATTATTCAGAGTTTCATCATCAGGTGACCACTTGAGCAATGTCTGAAAAGTTAAAAACTAATTAAGTTTTAATATATATTTAAGAACACATCTTTTTTTTTACTACTATTTATTATTCCGAGTCACATTTTCTCATATACTTGTAAAACTTTTTTTAATAATCTTACTTGGCTTACTTTTAAGCTCAACTGTAATCATGGATTAAATTGTCACAACAAAAAATTACATTGTCTTTAATGTTTTTACTTCAGATTGATAATTATGCATTCAATATACACAATTTGTTAGGAAAAAAAATCCTTTAATGAAAAGAAATGGATTTTCTTTTTCTTCATTTATGCTTTTTTTTTTTTAACTGTTTGTGTCTTTTATTTACCTATCTTTAATATTTTTCTATAACCAGTAATTCTTATATACCATTATAACACTTCCGTGTTTGTGTTATCTTTTTTTGCAATTTCAGTTAACTTTTCTTTCTGGCAATTTAATTATGACTTAATACTTTTTTCATTAAATAAAGTGGTATAAAACACCCATATATTTAGTGGTAAAAATAAAAAATGGTAATTCAATAAGATTTCTTTAGATTATTCCCTAGCATTATTTTAACAAAGGTAACTTCAGCCTTTCTTTCTATTTCTTTCTTTCATAATTTAAAGGACAACTATTATAGTCTCTTTTCATTATTATTACTTATAAAGTGATGATTGCAATAATTTCTTTTTTCAAGGCACAGCAATTTTTCCATCAGAAAATGAAGTGATATCAAAACATTTATCAAATACTTTGAGCAATATCTTTGATGCTCAACTATCCTGAATTTTCCCATGTTCAGAATCTGCACACTTTCGATAGCCAAACTTTTACCGTATAATATATAATTGCACTTTTCATTAATGATTTTTTTTTCATCTCCAGATTTTGCTTTTCAATGGCTTAAAACTGTGGCTTGTTTAGAAGTTTTAAAAGATAAATGTTTTTAATGGTGAGGTTAATGATTCAAAACTTGAAGCTCTTCAGCTAGATAGATTCATTTTAATGAAATCAAACATAAAACAGTTGCTGAAAACTGTTAATAATTATATATTGATAAGAACAATTGGTAATAAATAAAATAAGAGTATCAACTAATAAAAAGCCAAAGAAATGTTTGATTGGAACAAAATAATACAGGCAGTAAAAATATCAAAAAATATTGAAGAATTTTCAATAAAGATATGAGTACCTTTAAATAATTAATCAACATAATTTTCATAAGAGATAGTTTCCAAATCTAAAACTGCATATCTCTTTAGAAAGCGCTTCATAAAATTAAAGTTAAAGAAGTAGAAAAATAATTAAGCTTAAATATACAAAAAAACAAACAAAAAAAAGGTTTTTAATTATCAGATAATCATACATCATTTTATACCTATTACTTAAATTAAATAACTTCATCTCAAACAGACTTACATTATTATTAACTATACAATATAAGGAATCATCTTCAGAACAATATACAGCAGCAGATGAAAAAAAGTGAGGGTGTTCTAAATTCCAAGAGTGTAATAACTTTTGATCTTGTATCTGTGAAGGATAATATGGCATATATGATGAGTAACAAAATATTAATAATTTATATAAGAATATATAATATAAGAATATTTTATTTAAGAATACATTAATGAATCATAATGAAAGTTTATCACAGTTCAATAACTGAATTTTAAATAGGTTTATATTTTCACAAATATTATGCACATTATAATATGTAATAAATGTAAATAATGCTCAACGTTTCTGAAAAATGTGTGGAAAACATCTATTCTACAGTCATGTTTGTTTCACACATTTTATAGTTTCACGCTCCACATATGCAATTTTTAAATCCAAGATGTTATGTCTTAGTCAATCATAAACAGTGGCTTGAGTTCAAAGACGAACATGACCATAAAGATCCCTGAACATTACATCACATGATTTATGTTTATGGAATTACATCACAGGCACAGTTTGTGAACCACTGAGAAAAATATCATTTAGGCGATTTATGGAAATCATTGGTAATGTGTAACTTGATTACAAATTAGGTGCATTTCGTAAAACAAAAATCTTTGAGGAGATGTGAAAAGCAATCAACTGCATCCAAAATTTGAGGTAGCTATAATATATAGCATTAAAATTTTAAGGACATTTTTATTTTAAGGTTGTTTTTCTTTTTTCATCTTTTACAAGAGAAATGTTAATATTATTTCAATTTGAGATGTAAGGCAATATAAAAATTGACTAATGCCTAACAAAACATAAAAATTAAAGCCTGTGATTATAAAGTTCTAATGGTAATATGCACTAAGGTGATCGGTTTATTTCCTTCTTAAATAAAACTTTAATTTAAAAAAGAGTACCACTGTTGACTCAAAGTTTGATTAAAACACACTAGTATCTAATTAACAAGCGTAGCAAACTTGGCCTCCAAGGGTTTAAGTAGAAGTGCAGACTCATAAACGATATAAAGTAAAGCACTGCTGTAACAACCAGAAGTCAGTCAAGGGTCTATAATGTGTATGAGCCATGTTTGCTTCCTAGAAAGTTAGTTACTCATAGATCTGAATTTGGGCAGTCCTCAAATTATCAATGGGGGCAGAGCATAATGTATAAGGCAGGGTTGTAAAAAACCCGGGTTTTTGTAGAAAAACCCAACCCGGGTGGGTTTTATTGGGCTTTTCTGGGTTCTATTGGGCTTTTCATGTTTTTATGAGAGGGTTTTCAAAAGAGAGGGCAGGGATAAGTACCTTATTTTAAAAAAACTTATTTTAATATTAATAATTAAGTTTAATTTATAAATTGACTTCATATAGATAATTAATACAAATAAATTGATGTGAAAGTCTGAAAAAAGTTTCTTCATATATCATGATACAAAATGTTATATGTACTCACATACGTCACACATTTGAAACTTATTTTAACACAGGATTACTTTTTATTTATATTTTAATCTTAAAAAATGTTAGGGGAAATTTTTTTATTTGCATAGAAAGTGAATCAATGGCCATACAGTTAAATCTAGCCAGCAAGGTGACTCTTCAGTCTCCAACACAATTAGTTTCTTCACTGTAGGTTAATTTTTTTTTAGGCTAGATTACATATATATTTCAATAGAATAGCTCTTTCATATAACAGGGGATGAAAAAAGAAATCAATCTTAGAAAAACCCAGT